TAGGCTACTAGTGTTCGATCATAGGTGTCTTCGAAGCATTGCTCGTATATCCTGGGACCACCGGGTAAGTAATGCAGTTGTTAGGAAACGAGTACTAGGTAGGGATGGCAAATCGATTGATGAAGTAGTGAAACATCATCAGTTGAGATGGCTGGGACATGTGTTACGTATGCCCGACCACCGACTGCCCCGACGTGCAATGTTTCATGGTGTAGGAGTAGGTTGGAAGAAAGCTAGGGGTGGCCAGACCAAAACGTGGCACAAATCAATGAAGTCACTGACAAGTGGACTGGGCCATGTTGGAAAGTGTAGACTACCTGGTTGGGATTCGCGAGATGATAGCAACCGATGGTTAGAGACCTTGAATGACATGGCTCAAAATCGTTTGCAATGGCGAAGATGCATCCACTCTTTGTGTTCTACCAAATTCTAATCTTCTGAATTTCTCATGTCTTTATGTTTTTCTCCTTCCAAATATATTTCACTGTACTATACTCCTTCAATAACATCTTCAAACTCTAATCTTTCCGATTACTGCTTATACTCTTACTAATTCTTCCACTATGGGATTTGAATCGACAACTGCATCTGTGTGCTAATGTGGTATGGCAACTCGAACTGATGTACGTACGTACGAAGTTCTACGTTGTGACTGACTGACTGACTGACTGAGGCTCTTGGAAACAGTAATGGAACATGCATTAGTACAACATGTATCCAAACCTACACGTTTTGGTGTAAACCAAGGTTCTTCTCTGTTGGACTTGGTAATTACCCATGAGACTGAGGATATTGCCAACCTAAACATTCTTCCCCCGTTAGTAAATAGCGATCACGCTGTTTTATCATTCACGTTTAGAGCTAGCGATATGATATACGATCAGATTAAGCCTCGCCCAAACATATGGAGAGCTAACATACCAGAAATTCAGGATTGTGCTACTAAGATAGATTGGTCAGTAGATACTAGCTCATCAGTTGATGAGGCGTGGTCTGTATTTAAAGGCAAGTTTAGTGCAGTCACGTCCCCGTTTATACCATACTTGGTGCCACGTAGACCGAACAATAGTCCACCGTGGATAAATAAAGAAGTTAAGAAACTCCTTGGGCGTAGAAAAACACTGGAACATATTCATCTCTACTGGTTTAGAACAGTACAGATCTAGTTATCGTAAGATTAGAAATAATTGTAAAGCGTTAATTAGTAGGACTAGACGGTCATACGAAAAACAATTGGTTAGGGATTGCAAACATAGTCCAAAACGGTTATACTCGTATATAGAGAGGCGAACTCAGAGAAGTGATGGAATACCATCACTTTTGATACAAGAAAATCCGTTAATTTTGGCAAGAAATGATACCGAAAAAGCGGAAGCTTTTTCGGAATATTTCAGTAAAGTTTTTTCTACCAATAATGAGGAACGATCACCTATTCATTGTGATTGTGGCGACTTGTTGATGGACCCTGTAGTTATTAAGAAAGAAACTGTTTTGAGCCTAATCCAGCATCTCAAACCTGATAAGTCTAGTGGTCCTGATGATATTCATCCTCGGATTATGAAAGCCCTCTCAGATGTTATTGCTGAACCCTTAGCGATGCTGTTCGATATGTCCCTACGGCAGTCCAGATTGCCCAGAGACTGGAAGGACGCAATAATCAGTCCGGTGTATAAGACTTGGGGTAGGGATTTAGTTAGTAACTATCGACCCGTCAGCTTAATTAGTGCAGTTGTAAAACTAATGGAAAAAATTATTAGGATGGCTGTTATTAACTACGTGGAAAGACATGATCTTTTGTCAAAGGAACAACATGGTTTTCGAAAAGGTCTATCATGTTTGACAAATCTTCTCATTACAAGAGAAGATTGGGTTGAGGCAAAAGATCGCAATATTCCTGTAGATGTCATTTTCATAGATCTAAGTAAAGCCTTTGATAAGGTTTCCCATTCTGGTCTTAAATGTAAACTAGAAAGTTTTGGAATTCATTTTGCAGTCATAGACTGGCTAAGTGACTTTCTTCATGAAAGGAGACAACGGGTAAGAGTAAATGGGGCTCTCTCATCGTGGGAACCAGTAAAAAGTGGCGTCCCCCAAGGTACGATTTTAGGCCCTCTCCTCTTTTTACTTTATATAAATGAATTACCAGCTATAGCTAAGTCATCCGTCCTACTATTCGCCGATGACATTAAGATTTGGAGACCCATATATAGTATGTCAGACAGAATAGTTTTACAGGAAGATCTTAACTCACTAGTTGCATGGATGAATGGGTGGTCACTAGAAGTAAACCCTAATAAAAGTGTTGTGATGCAATTAAATAACTACGATGATTCGTATCACTACACAATATGTGGACTAGTGTTGCCCAAAGTAAGAAACTATAAAGATTTGGGAGTCATACTAAGCAATGATCTCAAAACAACCAGTCACTGTAAGGCTGCTGCTGCAAAAGGCTATAGGGCATTATGGTCTATTCGGTATCTGGATGGGGAAATATTTAGATTATTATACCCAACTTTCGTACGGCCACATTTGAAATATGGGATTCAAGCAGCGAGTCCTTGTTTCAAATATGAGGCGGATATGTTGGAACGAGTCCAACGCCGCGGGACAAAAATGGTAAAAGGCTTATCTAGCCTATCTTATGAAGACAGACTGAGACACCTCAACTTATTTCCGTTATCTTACCGGTGAATACGGGGTGATCTAATATTGGCATATCGTATCCTGAACGATGACCTTGGTACTAACATGTCCTATCTTTTCCTCCCGTCTAGGGCTGAGCATTTGAGAGGACATTCAAAGAAAGTCCAAAAACCGAGATCAAATCGTCTACGTCTGGAGTTTCGTTTCTCGCACCGAGTAGTGAATTACTGGAATTCTCTACCAGAACACGTAATATCAGCACCTTCTGTTGATATATTCAAGACGAGATTGGACCTCCACAGTGTAACAAACTGCAAGGATTAAAATAGGTCACTAGACCTCCTATCCTTATTACTGAAGACTGTTGGGATGTCATTTCTCCTCTTGATCCTTTGGTTTGTGTATAAATGTGAGCGTTTTGAATATTCTCTAGACTCCATAGCAAGGTTTTCCCCATACAGTTCTCCAGACTTGCAAAGGGTCAGGGCACAAATATATCGGGCTCCTCGATATTGAGATTCTGTCACATCAGTACCCGATAACCTAAATTTCCCCCACATCATTTTTCTATCACGGAGAAGGATATGAACATATTCGCAGAGCCACGTTAAAAAGCTTGTTCATGGTACTCTGAGTAATATGGCAGCCTATATATTGTAGGGATGCTTTTCCCTTCGGTATGAAAGAAACTTGTTAAAGAGTCTAGAAAACTCAAAACGCTTATATTCATACATAAACCAAAGGACTAAGAGGAGAGGCGGCACCCCTGCATTACGTGCAGATAGTAGTGCTAAGTCGCTAGTGGAATTCTTGTCTCTGAAATAGGTAAGCCAGAGAACTATCAACCCGTTAGGCTAACCAGCGTAGTTGTTATGATTTTATGGGAGATTGGTTGGAATCTCTTTAAGTATCTTAACAGAAACCCAATCTTCTCCGAAAGGCGGTACCTTTTTTTAAAACGAGTTATTTTTGTCTGAAAAATGTATTAGTAGTCCGTGAAAGTTGTGTGCTTTGAGGGACTTAAAGTTACTTATGAATGTAGTAATCATTTACTTAAGTAAGGCTTGACAAAACCCCATAAAACAAACTGCTATTTAAGTGATATCAGGATTAGAGGTAAATTACTTGTACGGGTAAGAGACTTCCCAGTTGGGCGTCAACTGCAGGTTGTTTATCTGGAGAACTGTGCTCAGTGCAGTATCTCAGGGCACATTTTGGGGATAATTGTTATTCCTCCCATTTGTATGTAGCTTTCCTATTCCATCATTAGCTTTGTTTATGTCAACAATAGCAAGGTATCGAGAACGATGACAAAAGAAGAGCTTCAAAATGACTTGGAGAAAGACTAACTGAATGGTCTATAATTTGGCAATTGTCGATAATTGCTTTCAAGCGCATTAGGATGCACATTGGTCACTAGGGTACAGAGACACACATAGTAAATATCGTTGAGCTACCTTTTGTTCAGACACATTGACGTAAAGGTCATCTTTAGCCAAGATCCGAAAACCACTGCACACTGTTGTGCAATACTTCTTAAGAGTTTCGGAAGCTTCTTGTCAACACAGAGAATTTAGCCACGTTTAGGCTAAGACCTTCTTGACTTTGCTTACAGTGTTTGTTCGTCGTGAACTTGAGAACTGCATACAAACAGCCAGCCTCCACCTGAAAATTAACTGAGCTGTTGTGAAAGGCCCAGATAATGACCAATGAGTTGATTCTTGAAATCTCAAGGCTACTGTATGACGAGATACTGGTTAGATTAAACCTGTTCCCCGATTTGATCGCAATTTCTGAATAAGGTCTCAGTGTAAATGGTTAAATCAATGTAATTAAACTACGAACACAAAGCTACATTTCAGAGTTTTTTCTGATAATATAAGTGTTGATTTTTAACTCTCCTATTAACAGCAGAGTAATGAACAAGTTTTCCGGCAAATTTATCCGGACTTCTGTTGATGAAGCATTATTGCCCCGAATTCTGGTACAAAATAACTAATGGGTGATTACATAGCGTGACTTTCAAATAACATCAAACTTGAATGCACCTGCTCTCGAAAGAAGTTTTGGGTTTTATAGTCCCTTTAACGATTTTAAGTTATTTAATTATTATGTGTTTATAACTTGGTGCCTGCATCACATGACTCCTCATCTCAAACACTGCATTTGAGAGTTCAGTCTACGACCTACGAACTAAACTTTCTCTCTTAGGTATTTTTATTTAATAGATATTAATAATGTGACTGAGCTTTAGAAACTCTTGTCATTCCATAAAATAGTGCTAAACTTTATAATGCTATTTCCTATCATTAGTAATAATTTAATTACGTATATCTGCTTCTCTGTCCTCTAAAGCAATGATCATCTAAGCTACTGTTGGATGGATCAAAATCGTTTTCGCATAGACTATGGGTAGGATTTCGTTTTCATCATCAGAAGTCCACTAATTCAAGTAGGACAATCTCCAGATGCTCTGGTATGGTCGGGGGTGGGGAGAGTCCACTCTCACTCTGGAAGTGCTCTTACAAGGCCAAGCATATACGCCCACTATCACGAAAGTCGTAATTACTGCTTTCTCACACCAGAAGTGATGTTTACGAAATTAAAAGAGAGAAAAGAGAATGTCCGGCGCTTTAACCAGGTAAACACGGAAGATCCATTTAAGGGGTTGGAAAACCCTGATTTCAAACCAGTGATGCACATGGGTTCCAGGATCCTGAAAGAACAAAAGGCGTATGAACCTATTGTTGGTCACCAGTTACCTTGGGACTTTATCTCCTAAAGTCGGCTTGTGGATTAGACCTTTAGGTCAAAGGCTTCAGGTGTGACCCCCGGAGAGAACTACGTGCTTCGGTCCGGGCACCCTGGAAATATCACAGCCCTCACACGAATCAATAATAACTGTGTGGCGCACTTGTATTTGACTCCCTTTTGTACCAATGTTTATGTGTTCAAATAAATAAAAATAAAATAAATTACTCGACATTCAACTAATAAGTTGCAGGTTTGAATACACTGACTAATTTGGTTTGGACGGTTGGGTATCATCATACTGTCTTAAAATCAAAATTATTTTCCTCATTACTGAGCATAATGGGTACAATAAAATGATTATAAGTATTCTTTTTGCTGTTGAATAGGCTGAACGTTTCTTGGTATTTACACTGCTTGAGAATGGTAGGATCCTTTAGTAGCATACACAATTCACTTGATGTAGTGGTCACTTTCTTTTCCACACATTGTTATGTCTCTAGAATTGTAGTTACTTTGTCCGATATTCCTGAGTAATTGTTGTTAAGTTATGGTGGAATCTTGTAGTAAGCTCATTTCTTACTAGTCACACACCGTATTGGGGATGATTGGAAGAAATTCAGGGGCAGCCAAACCAAAACGTGCCATCAGTCCTTGAAGTCATTAACTTCTTGTTTTAGCCATTTTGGTAGATGCAGGGGTCCGCGTGACTACCGTAAGCAATAGTCAGAGACTCTGGGTGACATGGGTTAGAATCGATCACAATGGCGTAGGTGTATACACCATCTTTCCTTAAACTGTGAAATTAAAATTGCTTTATATCTTTCTTTTCACCAACTAATTCTTTCTTCCTGTACTATATTCTTATACACAACTCTTCTTTTATATATTACTACCACTGAAGTAGCTACTATGAATTTGGTGTTCATCTTGTGCTGATAAGTTGTAGCAACTTGGACCGATGCATATATGTGCCTGGTCCTACGTTGTAGTTGACTGAGTTCCATTGTCCTAATTACTTAAGAATGTCATTAAAATCAGTAAATTTTTAACACTGAAATATAAACTACTGTATGCTCATAGGGAATTCAGTCGTCTAAGCACCTAGTTTTGTGCACCCAATCACTATTATGAACACCACTTTATCTTAAATGACTAGTAAATCAAGTTACAATCCTTTTATAATAAGTAGAATGAATATCACAACGAACTTGTGTCTGGTTATTGAGATGCCGTTATACTTGTATTAAATACTTTTATATGAGTTTTTAAACCTGATTTTGTTTTCGAATAAATTGTCTATAAGAATACAGATTTTGTTGTTACAATCGGTTTATCAATGACAACCAATCCGTCTTCATCTCAACCCCTTGGACAGTCAAACAAAAGCCCAAGAGAGCACTTGCATGGTGGTCTTCCAACATCTAGTTCAGCACCTCGTAATCGTTTATCTGGTCATAACCACTCGTCCCATGAATCAATCAATTCTATCAATCCCGATCAAATGCTTTATTATGGGGCGAAGCAAATAATCAGGTCAGTTTTTCAAGATTTTCTTAATGATATATATAAATGCATTGAGTTTAAAATTCTCTATGTTGATGTTCGCTGTAATCTAGACTTCCATATTAAGCCGTATACATTTCTGTGTGTACACCAAGGAGCGAGTATATGGGTTAGCAGTTGACTTTGCTTTTGCTCACGGCTCTAAAACATAACCCGTAAAGGCAGAAAATCAAGTGTTGTTTTTGAGTTCCTGTGTTAAGGATGTACTACACCTTTAGCCTTAAGTCTTGTTAAAATGTTCTTAGGTACCGAATATTTCGTCGTAGAACTAATCGTAAAGCTTACTTATTATGAACTTGTTTTCAGTAATCGTAATAAGTTTTGAGGGGCCTATATCAGAAACCTCAAGTTGTCTACGTTTAGCATAGTATTCAATCCTCGGTTTTATTACTTTCAAAAGGCGGTATTCTTAAATATGGCAAACAATAACACCATGATAGTTATTTCATTAAATCATAATAAATGGTTTGAAAAATTGTTAGGTATCGTTAAGAAACCATTTCATTTTTTATATGAAAAAATCCTCTGGCATTTCCCGCCAGAAATAATCCTTAAAATTATGCAAAGAACATACGAGGATTTAAAAAGACTTACTTATTGCTAGTCGAATTTGGAGAGTATTATAAAGGGTTTGACGCTAACCCACTAGATTTATAAGTATGAGTAAAATTGCTCATATATTGATGGATTTAGCAGACACTCGTACCAAACGGTGAAGTGTTTTGAAGTTTGAAAAAAGCTGATTCATGGGATCATTGGTGTAAACATCCCTTTCATAATATGTTAGTCATTAAATCGGTCCTGTAAGTTGTTATTTACTTTCTCTAATATTTTGTATTTTTCAGTACCTCTCCACCAAATTTGAATTTTTTTGTGTAAACTATCTCCAGACATCCTTTCATTACTGTACTCATTCTTATAACTACGCTTTCTGTTTTTACATTCTCATTCCAGCTTATTTATACCAGTGACAGTTTGCATGTTGTTTGTTGTCGCTGTCGCTTCGACAGTTGACTTTTATGGACATACGGATCAGTACTTGTTGTATACACCATTTCATACACCAAATGCAGATATTGGGACACAAACATGGCAAACAATAGCTAATACTTTAATATTTATGAGTGTAGTTGTCGTAATGACATGTGTCCTTGTTTTATTGTTCAAGTATCAGTGTTATAAGGTAAGATGTGAATATTTTCTCACAAAATTTTCCATAAATTCTCATAATATTCCTAGATGTGAAATGGCTATCGTAATGATTTATCACTTTTTATCTGGACTCTAAATAGTTTTAAATTTTTTGTAAGTTACTCGTATATATATATATATATATATATATATATATATATATATATATATATATATATATATATAACAATATTAGTGGTAAAAAAAAGATAGGGCATCTAAAATACGATTCAGTAAACTATAAATTGGTGAAATAAAAACACGGAGAAAGGCATGAAGGATTCAGAAGCTTAAAATTTGGTGAAAAATAAAAATAAATGCACCTGCTTAATTGCAAACGATTCTGAGCTATGTCACTCAAAGTCCCCAGCCATTGGTCATGATAATGACCTCAACCAGGTAGTCTACACCTATTAATATGGTTTAGTTCAATTGTCAGTAACTTCATGAGCTGATGACAAGTTTTGGTTTGTCTGTCCCTAGCTTTCTTCCACCCTACTCTCACACCAGACGACATCTCGTCGGGGTAGGCGGTGGTTGGATATACGTAAAACATATCCCAACTACGTCAGTTAACGAAGATTTACTATCTCGTCAATTGATGTGCTATCCGTAACTAGTACCCTACTCCTAGCCCATTCATTGCTTACTTAGTTCTTCAAAGACACGATTTCTGTCCCACTAGTTAATTGTACAATATATATATATATATATATATATATATATATATATATATATATATATATATATATATATACAAGTCTCTGAAAGTTTTTATACATTATTTTCTTTGCAGTTTATTCGGGGTTGGATAATGATGACGACCATTTTCTTACTTTTCCTGATATCGTTCATGTTTTTTGCGTGAGTGATAATTAGTTATTGTTGTATCAAAAAAAGTTAAAATGCTTGCCTTTTTTCATGTATCAATAACGGTAGACAAAGATGGAGATAGAAGTAACGGTTTTGGAACCTTCAAACGATTTTATTTATCGGTATCATTATCAAGGTTTGACTTGATAATTTCGAATAAGTTGAGCATTGGGTAAATTGTTATAAATAAAATAATATATTTGTAATGATTAGAAAAATTAGATTTTCTGACGTTTCGTGACTCAGTATAAGTCAGTTCTTCAGAGAATAAATAGCCAATTTAAATAGTAAAAAAGAACAACGCAAGAATATTATGTGCTATCAGTCAGAAAACAGGTCTGAACAAGTTAATGTCATGTCATTTCGGTCAAGGTGATTTATAAGCTCTTGTATGTAGATTTATGTGTGTGTATGTGTACAAGGTCAGGGATAAAAAAAGTGTGACCTATATGGTGCAAAAGGATGGAGTTTAATTTGTATACACGGTAATAGCGTGAAATGTGAATAATATCAGACATAGTAGCTTGGATAGATAGTCCAAGTCGAATGTATACTGAGGCCTTCTTTTCTATTGAGAGTAGTAGGATTAAGCATTGTAGTTGCAAGAATCTTTTTGTAATATTTTGATGTTTTTGAAATCGATTTGGTGGTTTTTGAAAATGGTGTGAACTGCTATTGCTGATGTAGTTTGAAGTCTATCCAGTTCTACTGGATTATTAAGTGGTTTCTTTGTGTACCTAATATGTTCTTTGGCTTGGCGAGATGACTCTCCAATATAGAAGGAATTACAATCGACACATCCTAATTCTAACTAAGGAAAATACTCCTCTTTATGTCGACACAGAACTGTTTACACAAATTGGGACAGTAGTAAAAGTATGTAATACTACGTTGTTCGAGTGAAAATATGAATTCTTTCACTCTGGCTACTATTGTCAGACTGTTAGTTATGACCGGTCAACTACTGAAAGGAATCGTTATCATAGATTTTAGCTTTTGATGCTAATTGAATTCGGTCGACCACTCCGTTTGCGATGTACTCATTGGCTTAAGGAGTTCGATTGAAACTGGTGTTTAATTAATGAAAACAGTTTGCTCAAATCTATAAACATTACCATCCTTTAACTAGACATATTTGTAATATTAATGAAAATCTTGCTTCATAAATACTTCAACTATTCAGTTACGTGGATATTACCGCTAAGCTATTTCGATAATGATTAGTTATTGCAATGAATCAACTACACTTAACATTTCCTCGTTAATTATCCTTAGTCATTAAGCTTTTTTAATAATGTATGAATAATTTTGTGAATTATTATGGTCACTTAGTTAATGACTAACGATATGCGACATGGCACCGATGGGTATCGTTTTAAGTCATCACGATCCACATCAGCACAGTCAAAGTAGTTAGTAGGAAATAAAATAGAAAGACCTTTTGTACATAACAATCAACCCTATACTGTGAAAAGTAACTACATATTTCATTCTCTTTATATATTGTGAAATGAACCAAAATTTTAAACAGGTAATATATCTTAAACTACGGCGGAGTAACTGTTTTTCACGTATTAACTTTCTGTTCGCTTTCTCCTGATTTTGAAACAACCATGTCAATGAAGAATTCATTTAATAGTTATCCACTTGTGGTTTATAACTCTATTTCGGTCTTTCGAAAGATCTGATTAAATGATTTAAGTTGTTCCTAGAGTCTAACTAGCACTATATATATATAACCTTTGTAGTACTTTATTTAATCAAACTTAACAAATGCTTATCTTTACATTGTAATAGTGTCTGATTGACGAGGTGTATAGGTTCAATTCTTATTTATATGGGAATCCAAAGGTTTGAGAATTAGAAAGATGATTGTTCACTTATCATTTTCTTAGAAGTTCTATCATACATTGCTGTTTTCACAGGAATATTTCCAAACTAATGATATATTCAAAATCATTGATAGATTGTTTATCTACGCATTTTCTTTATATTCTGTATGTCTGTAGTAAGATAGTCAGCCAAGCCGGGAGTAGGACAGCAACCTTCTAGACGTATCGAATGAAAATAGTATTGTATCACAAGTGGACTTAAATTAAGACTGAATCATTCTGAATCCTAATTCAACTGAAAAAAGACTAACCAGCTCGATGGAAAACATCAAGGTCTTAAATCCTATTTCGTGTAGGGTTGTGGATTCACATTACTAAGGGACCTTAGCTAGAATAAATCAATCATTTGTTGTCTTTTGTTTTCAATAATTTATTGATATCAATTTATGGTTAAATATATCGTCCGTTAGTACAAAAATCTAAAAACTTCTCACTTATAATCAATTTATTACCGTCTATTGTAAATTCATTTTATTTGATTGATATCATTTGTCAGTGCTCACATAAAATTTCAAGATAGTTTTCGTTGCATGCAGAGAGTAAAGAAAATTTATTTACATTTCCATTAATGCAATTCGCATTACCTTTTATTCTGATATTTATATTATCAAACAATTTTATTATTATTATTTTCTTGTAGTGAAGTTCTTCGAGCTATGGGTGTATTTGTTGATTATATTACAGTAGCGTTTGCCTTATGGAATTTCGGTGTTGTGGGAATGATAGTTATTCATTGGCGTGGACCATTAGTTCTACAACAAGCGTATTTAATATTTATATCTGCACAGATTTCATTAATGTTTTTAAAGTATCTACCCAAATGGACGTGTTGGCTTGTTTTAGCAGCGTTAAGTGTTTGGGGTTGGTTTGATTAATTTTTGTTTGATAAACGATTCTATTATTTCAAATTACTATATTCGACTTCCACTAAATGTTAGATGGAATTGTCTGAAACCTTTACGCAATTAATGTTTCTGTGAATCCTTTTTTAATCTAGCTGATGTGTAATGTGGTCCTTTTATACTAAGACATCTTCCAAAGATTCAGAATTGCTTATAACTATGGCGATAAATCATTGATTGAAATATCTCAGGTATCGTAAATTGTTAGATTCAACTATTTACTGAGGTCGGAAGAAGTTTCGAAGCACTATAGGATTTCAGTTAACGGTTTCTAGGTTAATAAACAAATGAATAACTCATGGTTTGACTTTCATTACCCCCTCCTCTATGTACACTTGTCAGTTCAGCAACTACAATCATTCTTCGTAGATAAGTTCGAATTCTATTGGGACTGCAAAATGTATTAGACATATCATTGTGTACTATCCAATTGCATTGTATACAAAATGCTCAACAACTAATGTAGAGTTCAGACAAGGTTAGGAGTTACGTCTCGTACTTCTGTCGGTATTACTTGCATCTGGCGCTTTAACTTTCACAGTCCAGATATTTTTTGGAATCCAGTCATCATCTGCACAAATAGCGTCAATAACCTTGACAATCTGGTTAGATTTGAAAACAATTTTCTTTATAAACTTCTACCTTTTGGATTTTAAAGTTTTGCTGTACGATAAGTAATATTTTATTAGTTTACAGTCACGAATACTTTTAAAATAAAAACCGGTTTTTTATTTCAATGAAAATGTTTCTATCGAATCACTTGGTCAAAATTCACTTGTAAACGATAACTTTCGGAGAATGGTAAGACCGTAGTATATGAACGAACCGGTAGGAATTGAGATAGCGACTTCAAGTTCATAACGCATATTTAAACCGGAAATGCATACCCATGGTAGTTTAATTACGGCTTCATTGACGACAGCTGGTACCATAGTTTGTGGACGGGAAAATCAGACCTAATTTAGTTCCTTTTGAGTTTTCTTACGAAATTCATTCATTCACACAGTTACAAAGCACTTTTACACCATAGTTGTCAGTTCGCGATGAAAATTTCAACCCTAACTTCTTACGCCTAATTTCTAACACTAATTTCTAACCCTATTTTGAACCTAATAGGTAATTGAAATTTCATCAAGTTACTTTAAATCACTCACCAAGAGAATCACTGACATATCGATGAAAACTATGACTTATTTGGAAAACTAAGTTATAGTTAAAATTGATAGCAAGTTGGTTATATATATGAGTAGTGGAGCTGAATCCTGAATCTCATATTTCATTATTTGTTTATTTAAACACATAAACATTGGTAAAAGGAGGTACCAAATAGACATACGCCACATAAATCATTCGATTTGTATTAGGGCTGGGATACTGCCCGGGTGCCCAGACCGAAGCATGTGGTTTTCTTAGGGGGCCACACCTGAAGCCTTTGACCTAAAGGTCTAATCCACAAGCCGACTTTAGGAGATAAAGTCCCAAGGTAACTGGTGACCAACAATAGGTTCATACGCCTTTTGTTCTTTCAGGATCCTGGAACCCATGTGCCTCACTGGTTTGAAATCAGGTTTTTCCAACCCGCTTAAATGGATCTTCCGTGTTTACCTGGTTAAAGCGCCGGACATTCTCTTTTCTCTCTTTTAATTTCGTAAACATCACTTCTGGTGTGAGAAAGCAGTAATTACGACTCCCCGTGCAGTGGTTGTATGCACGCGGCCATGTAAAAGCATTTCGATAGGGAGAGCTAACTCTTTCCACAGTTGGCCGTATCAGGGCATTTTGGGACTGAATCTCATCAATCCATAGTCAACCACCATTATATTTTGAACAATAGGTAAAGAGGTTTATCTTTCTCGAAAACGGCTGCCAGTAGGACCTTGGAGGTGATCACGAAACAAGTTAGCAATATTCCATGCTGTTGAATTCCATTGGGATGCAAAATGCCTGTAGATTTGTTCTTTGATTTGTTAACCAATATTGCGTTACGGTGGGAAAGGAGGGACGTGAATGTATTGAAATTTATATTCTAAATACCATAATTTTAAAATCTCAGTTTTAAAGTCAGTCTTTTCTCGTGGTTCATTTGCTCTCTTTCTTGATGCTTCCAGACATCCTATTTTAAATGCTTATTTCAAAATGAAAAGAAACTTCAATGCAAAATGTATTCACTTTATGCTACTAATCGTGCTTTCATATTTTGGATGATCGAATCACAGATATATGAACGAAGAATATTCTTTTCAATAATTTCTCTTCAGGTTCTACACTTATACATCCAAATTATCGATCCCAAAGATTGACCAGCTTCAGGGCAAAGCACATTATTTAAAACTATGGTGTAGTGAATGAGAACATAAAATTTCAGAATCTCAGTAAAATCTGAGAATCATGCAGTAAACACTCGGTTTGCTAAATGTCAATCAGTTGTCCCAAACTTGACTGTTCTTTTACAAATGTCAATCAGTCGTCTCAGACTTCACTGTTCCTTCACTTCCATACCAATTTCTTTCTGTTCCCGTTCTTTTCTTCTCGATCTGCTGTTGCCGGACATTCTATTCCTGACTAGCGTTATATACTACTTATGTTGATGTAAGTAGCACACACCACAATAGCATGTGAATTTATGATTGTTTGTAATATAAAATAAAATCAAATTGTCGATGTTGAGGTGACTAATGCGAAGTGTTAACTTGAATAAGCTCTATGTTAAATGAAATTTAGATATAAATGGTTAGAATAAATATGGTTAACATGGGGTGAGAGAGATAGTTATACAGTCACAAATCAGAAATCACGCAGTATGTAGAATAATATGAACTGAGTACGAATTAGTAGACAGAAGTGGGTGCTGGATAAATTTCTCAAAAAAGTTGGCATGTGTTATAATAATAATGTGTGTATGAGATAATTTTAAATTTAGAAATGAATATTAATCAAATTAAGTCCCCATATCATGAAAGTGATTATTGATTAATTGGGCCAGAAGTTGGTCAAGGTAAAAAGAGAGGTTGAACATATTTCTTCTGGATGCAATGTCCCGGCCTTTTGATCGGAATAGCAATAGCTTCAGTTGTCTAAAGGATTCTCAGTCTGACGGACTTAGGTGGATTGATGTTAACATGATATATTATGGCTAATGACTGCTCCATGTTAGCCGTATAACTCGTCTGTGACTAAATGAGCTAAAACTAAACTGTTAACAGTTTTAACTGTACCTTTGCCCAGCCACACTGAGAGGTGCTCATGAGCCTGGAAGTACAAATTCCTAGAACATCTGTCAATATAACTTACTCTACAAGAGCAGTTGAATTGATAGATGTAGAATGAAGTGGTTAGTCTAAGTAATTTATCTTTCAATCTCAGCAAAATCTTCGGGTGCGTGGAAAACAATAATTATAGTTTAATTGCATTGAAATTTCCTGGGATTGCTCTGTGCAACTTTAATAGTGGCATTTCGCTGGACGTATCACCCCTGAATTGTAAGTGTATATACAGAGGCTTTTGTTCACAGTTAGGCCATCCTTATGCTCTTTTTTCTTGGCTTAATGTTTATTTATGAATTTCTCCGAATATCCATTTTCTTTCAGGTTAATATTTATTGCCTTTGTTTCCTCTTCCGTCGCATCTAGGGAGCATATGGTCTTGTTTCTAAGGTGAAATGTCTCAACGAGGTCCCTTGCATGTTATAGAGGAACATAACTGAAACAAATTTGTATGTTCAGTCCAAGTAGTCCTCTTGTTTAAGTTTCTTTTTGTAAGCAGAACATTTAAAAAGGCTTTTTACCTCTATTTTCTTCCTCACATGTAAATTTAATCGACGGGTGAGGTTCATGAAATCGCTTAAATGTCTATCCGGTCTGTATGGTCGTTACAAAGGATGAATGTATCGTCCACATACTGACAGTAAAATGAAAACTAGTCAATATGCTGTGCCGATGGACCGTTTTCCTGTTTAGTGAAAAAATGTCAACTAATTTGGAACGTAGTGATGAAACCATCTCGACACCATCTATTTGTTTATATATTTCACCATTCAATTTGAGGTTTTACGTTTATAGTACACTTTAGTAATAATTCCTTAATGATGTTCACAGGGATTATAGTCTCTATTTCTTGTTCTCTAAGTTGTTCACAGATACATTCTATAGTCTTCCTGAGTGGGACATTCGTAAGCAATGGTGTTACGTCTAAAGGCATCATCATTCGTCCTTTAATGTTCATGTTTTTGATATTGTTGACGAGCTGGAATACATTATTAACACTATGCTTCACTAAATTTTTGTGTAGTGATTTTAAAGCGGTTATTATTACTATTACCAATTCGCTTAATTGTTTCGTAGAAGTTTGATGGAATTACATGTTGATCTCCGAAGTTTTTTAAAGCTCTAGTCAGTTTGTTCTCTTTTTTTATTGCTGACGTCTTTTTTGTCATTCGCTCTCTAGAGTTTTAGATGATCATTCAAGATGTTATTCATCTTGTCAATGTAGTCTTTTTTGTTGAGTAGGACCGTTCTTGTTCCTTTATCAGGTTTCGTAAGTAAACTTTCGTTATTAATAAGTTCGTTGATAGCTTCCCTATGTTTTTAAGTTAAAATGCTTCTGTAGTTGTATCTGCCTTTCCTTAAGTGATAGCAGCTACCAACCAGATCTGATTTGAAACGTTCAAGTTCTTGGTCGCAGGTCGGAACCAGATCCTATATCTGACGATTTATTACGATCATTAATTTCACGATTTCCTTTCAAAATCTAAAGTTATTTAAGTTTACGCTTCATATTAGTCATTCAAACACTAAAGATTTTGTTTTATATTACAAACAACTCCAAGTTCATATCTTTTAATTTCCAAACGATGTACTTCGCCTTAAAGCTGACCAATCTTTGGGATCGATAATTTGGATGTATAAGTGTAGAACCTGAAGAGAAATTATTGAAAAGAATATTCTTCGTTCATATATCTGTGTTTCAATATGAGGATTAAATTGTTGTAAACATATTTAATGCAAGCAGATATGAAACGTGTGAAAATGAAAAACATATATTTTGTATAGAACACAATGATACTAAATATTCGCGTCACCATAAAAATGCGTACATTCGTACTTGTCCTATAATTACGTCAATATTTTATTGTACTACTAACTTAATTATTAAGTAGCATGAATCTCGTATATTTTTATTTCAACCTTTGTCGTTTATGGATCCTACATTGAAGATTTAACTTTAGCTTAGTTGGGGGCTAGCTAGCAGTACGCATTTTTTCACTTATTTTGAAGGCCTAAGTTGGGCGTATATCACTGTATTATCGAGAACTAACTATAATGTTATTAAAAGATGCAGTCCCTACAGTTCCAGGTCATGAACTCCGGGTCATTAACAATCGGTTTGTGGTTCAGATGTAATGAATATATACACTTACTTGTTTCCTCCCTCTTGGTATTTTTACTGTAATAGATTTTAGTACTTTAAGCTTTATGATTTTCCTGTACTAAGTTAGTTATTGGTAGGATAAGCACACTTGTATGTATCACTCTACGTTGCTTTTACTTAATAACTGCTTATACTAGCTAAGATATTTAAAACATTTTAGTAATGTATGTAATTTAAATATCTGTTGTTTGTATAGCTATGTAAAGGCGAAATTTAAGTAATTTGGATTTATTATTTCTAACTTTATAGCCAGTTCTATTACATTAAATTCTCTCGTTTCATATTGCTCATATGATATGATACTACCTAGTGTTTATGTAAGGCCTATTGTGGTTGGATTTGTTCTCTCAATGGTAAATGGTAATTGAAGTGGATAAATCAATATCAACAGTGTTTTTCACTGTACGATATATGTGTTTTATACACATTCAATACTATCGTATTATAGTTTATTTTCTAAAATAACAGGAAATATAAGGGCTCATATATGCAAAATTTCACTCGATTTTCAACATAACTCAGTCTTTATATAATATCATCATTGAGGAATTGACTTGGATGATTTTTACCCGTCAAAACTTCATGATAGTAATTCACAAAATCCAATGTTTGTCATTTACTAGTGAGGTAATTATAATCAGTAGATTAAATAGTTTTTTTGGGTTTTTTATTATTTAAAGGTAGCTTTCATCATCTGAGAATGCAACGGGAAGAGCTAATCACTTCAAAAGTGTGACTGTAACTTACTAGCGAAATTGGATGTAGGTCTTAAATCGATAAAAATTAGAAATGGATTAACTAATCATACTAAAATGATTCGGAAGAATCTATGATTGATAACCTAATCTAAAGTCAGATTTTCATCTAGTAATGTTTTTAAGAAATAAAATTAGTGTTTGTATGTATTCGTTATTTCATTTTGGGGGATTATTCCATCTGTCTTTTATACAAGTACTATATTTTTCTTATCTGTTGGTCAATGTATAGAACGATACTGTTCTTTTGTATTGTTTCACATATTTTGGTGTTTCATATGGTCATCTAAAAGTTGACATTAATTTGTGAAGCTTAAAATACCTTAAGGAATTTTCATAAGGGTTGTGTGCTGTCTTGTGTATATTTCTGGTGAACAATGATGAGATTCTTTTTCTCTTAAAATATACCATATTAAAAAAAAACTTTGATATCAATTAAGAATTTATGAATGATTAAAACCATAAAACTCCCCATTCTATGTGGTACATAAGTCTTCATCTATGTTTATGTTACTGAACTCCGGTCCGTTCTGTCAGACAACTAATTTGCAACTATTCCAAAGTATTCCGCGAAAACATCCAGAGGGACCCTGAAAACCGTGGGAAACATTTTATCAAATCGGTATTGAATAAAAGTTTCTCAGAAGCATCACGTGTCACATTTCTGATTGGATGTTTGCATGTCATGCTACTATGTTTGGTATGGTTTCAGAAATTTTGGAAGCCCAAAGCCATCTGAAATACTATTGTTGCCCACAATTTTCTGTGCATAGACTAACCTTTAAGTAAATCGTTCTTTTCTCACTTCGCTCCTTTCCTCTCGTGTTCAAGTTGTGTAGATTTAGCTTGGGATTATTAGAGAAGCTTAAGAAACAGATTCAAGCGTACAGATAGACTTCTCATATTCACCTTACGAAGATTCGCTGACTTACATGCACACCTGTATTTAAGTATGAATATTATTTCTAACTCATATAATACTTTCTGCTGTTTAAAGTAACATTTAATATTCCTTTATTAATTTCCTGTTAACTAAACTTTACAATATTCCCTTCAGATATAGTAGCTGTTTTGTGTCCAAACGGACCATTGCGATTGCTCGTAGAAATGGCGCATGAACGACAACAACCTCTTTTCCCTGCCCTTCTATATTCAACTACTACAGTTTATCTTGTCAAAAAACATCAACCACTTGAGAAAGTTGAAAATGATCAACAATTTGTTGGATCCAATATTACATGTTCTGTTGATACTCCGAATGAAGCGTCAAATATTAATTGTACTACACAATCTTGTCCTACTACATCGGAGTTGGTAGTTTCAGGTAGACCTATAAAATTATTGTTAATTATTTTTATTATACTATTATTATGAACCGTTGTGAGGCAGTTTGTGATATACCTTATTATAACTTAGTTTTGTTAATGTGTCACAGAGAATTGTTGGTTGAACATATATTGGCTTTTCAGATTCCATTGCTTGTTTATAAGTCTATAAATTGTCTATAAATTCTAGCGGTCTTTACTTTTATTCCGTATTTTATATACCAAGTGTTATTAATTTTTATACTGTATAATAAGTCTGGTTAGAATTGACCTTGTATTAATCCAGGCCTTAATTTCATTGCTGAATAATTCATAGAATTGATGTCTACTAATGGATTATCCTTTGGATGATTAAATCCTGCTTATTTTGTATAACATAAATACATTTCACTTGATCTCTTAAAGACAGTGATGGTAATTTGTATCGATGTGTGATGGTTATTATAGAAACAATTAATTTGATATGACGATTTGCGTGTTCTTGATAACTTGCTTACTTAATCGGTCTTCGTTTTCCAATTGAAATAAATCTTAGGGGGAAACACTATATTAAACATACACCTGCGGAATTATATATATATATATATATATATATATATATATATATATATATATCATAACAATAATAATAGTTATTATTAATAGTCTTCGTTACTCTAATTCCTTCCACCATGAATGTCCATCGCTTCACATTATGCCGTACCTCTATGTTACACTTTAATGCACATGTGGTTGTAAGCAGCTGATGACGAACAACTATTTAATAATTAAAAGAAAATATAGGTCGCATCCCAATTAATTAGGCTTTATTTTTGTTCTGTTTATCAATAATTGTTCATGAATATTGATATTACTAGTTACTTTGTAGTAGAAGTTACGATCTTATTTATAATAAAGCTGAAGTAAATGTTCACATTCGACATTAACGGGTTCATTTAAGTAGATGAATATATGTATAAAATTATAATTTCCTTTTCGCATAACTCTATCGTAAAACACCTCTACTATAAACTTGTTTTTGTTTGATCGTAATATTTTGCGTCAATCCAATTCTATTTCTCTTGCACTTTTTTTCAAAAAGTATTTCTACCAGAATACGATCCGATCAAAAAATTTTAAAATGTAATTTTATAAAAGCATTTAGTTTTTAAATAGTGGGTTACGGACTCGAACCCTGCACAAAGACGCCCGACCATTGCTGCTACTTTGGTATAGTAGTCGGGCTTGCCTATCGTGATGACCCAGTCGGGTTATACTGGCCGGAATAGTCGTTCCTCGAGGCTCCACCATATCAAGCAGGTCGGTTGAAGAGCGGTAAGACTAAATGCAGCAAACCCAAAGTCCAAGGTTGAAGTCGTACTGCTGACAGTATGGAGGTGTGTCGGGAACCGGGAAGTTTTAACCGCCCTCATACTTCTAACAGCACTGAAGACCACTGAGCGACTGCACAAAGACGACCATCACCAATTACCTTGCTTTGGACAACAGCTAAGCGTAGTATCATTTAGTCTTTACATAATAAAAAGGAATGGTTAGAAGTTCATCAGATAGACCTGCATTAGTTAAATAAATTGTAGGAATAAAAACAACAAGTATAAATTTTTTGATATAACATAATTTTTTTATAATATCTGTTATACTAATTATTATGTGATTAGTAACTTCTTTGACATTTGTTTCTTTAGATGGCAGTAACCAGCCGATGACAGGGAATTCAAGAAACATGTTAAATATTCCTAATAATGTAAGTAAAAGTAATTGTTTCAATCTTCGTTTCATTACTGTTTGCTGAAAATTAATTTTTAATGTTTTAAACAGATGAATGATAAATTGTGTAAAAAGACTTATTGGTCTTGATTATTTATTAAACCATTGCATGTTATCGTGAAAGCGGACTACATTATATTGATGTTTACCAACGTAAACAGTCTTATTCTACATTAGTGTAGTATAAATATCACCTACAATCTTTCCACTAACTTTTTATGTAAATGCGTCGATATTCTTCTCAATCTTATCTTGATATTCTTTGGCGATGGGTTCTTTTGGTTTCCAAGATGTGCGTTTGTCTGTTTTTAAGCCTTCAATTGAATGATTCTTTATCATAGTATCATTGTGTCCAGTGAGACTTAAACATAGCATCCACCTAACTGCTAATTTCTATAATTTGCCTAGTCCACTAAAGCAAACGATCTCTAACTTCATTTACTGGTGTATGTGTTGACTATTCATCATTATCTTTACTCAACATAATCATATTTTGACCAGTATATTGCGTTTGTATAAACAGTGGTATGTTAGAAATAACTAATGATTACGTAGCTTGAAATATATATCATAAATATACTAAGTGCTAAACAGTATTCATGTAATGTTGCTTATCGTCATTCAAGTAAAAAGAGAATCGCTGTAGAAATCCGGCTGCATTCAAAACTATGTGTATGACAAGTATGTTCGATTTTATTCATATATTCTACCAAATACCGAATATGTAGAATGTAAATGTAGCTCCATTCCAAGCCATTGGTCATGATAATCACGCAGACCACAACCATGTAGTCTACATCTCTATCAACAGTACTAATTATTATCCGTTTAATTAGTTGTGCATATAAACTGAATTAATGTGCTGTTATTTATTTTTTTGTAGACGTCCCGAACCGATGTAATTGTAGTTGATACTCCTGATGACAATATGAGTAATAATGATGCCAGGAATAATAATGAAACTATATCACAGGCACCTCATGAAACAGATACACTTGTAGCAGGCCGGCCCAATCGTTGGCAAGAACTGCAAGTATGTTGCTTTGTTTATACATCCGCTTGTTGTAATTATTACTACGTAACATTATGTCTACATACTTTTGTCAGTATCCTTACATTGATTAGAACCATCATCATGTTTTTTTAGTGATAGTCAAAATTATTTTATATGGACTGGCTATTACGTTATCACCATTTGTTGACCTTCCATAACTTAACAAAAAGCAGAGTATGTGTAGTGAACGAAGGCCTAGTGGGGAAAACCGAATTATTTTTTGGTGCGAAATTACACCTTAGTAAAATATGGAAATCGTACATTAAATCCATCATTTTCATGTCTTCTTTGCGTTGTCCTTTGCCTACTCTACTATTCCTCCAATTCTGTTGTTATTTTGACTGCTCTCCAATTTCCTTTCTGTTCTCTTCAATTCAATCTTCTGCTGCCAGGCATTCCATTTCGGATTGTGGCTACCAACCACTTATATCTGTCAGCATAAATAGCATACACAACATATGCAGTCGTTTCAGCCTGCCTATCGATCACATCACACTACTTAGCCGTCGTACATTGACACAAACAACATATCTATATTTGTTCATTGTATCGTATGTTTTCATAAAAATTCAAAATATTATTCAGCACAACTATTTGAGAACTTCACTTAAATGTGTAGTAATCCATGATGCTACACCATTCAGCATAGAATATGTTAAATATTCATGATACAAACGAAAGGTATGTGGTCGGTAATAAATCCGATATAACAGATTTTCTGTGAATCTATCCAGACTATATCCTTGATTTTTCAATATTTCGAAAAATTAATCTTGGTGGAATATAGGACTGTCAATAATATTTAAATAACATCTTACCCTAATTTCCCCTCAAATTATTTGTTGCTTCTTGGTTACTTAATTAACTGTTCACTGTGTAATGAGTAGTAGAAACCTCAGGTCTTACAACAGGCGCTTAGCCTTCAAACCACAGAGACGGTATCCAATGGTTCATATGTTTAACTCATATTAACTTTCCATATTGTGTGCTTTGTAATTAGGTTGGATTAGCGCTTTTATTTTCATTATTATTTATTATTGCTACTTGTCAGTATAAATTATATGTTTACGAATTCATGTGAAATGTGGCTTGAAAAATTTACGTCATTGTAATTACGTAGGCCATTTAAATATTTTTCAGATTATATATATATATATATATATATATATATATATATATATATTCATTGACCAGTCAGGTTCGTAACAACTGTTGGGAAAAGGCAATAACATATTGCTAAATTATTACAATCTGTTCAGACCACAATTTGGACACATTCATTTAAACCTATTTAATTAGTTCAGTAAAATACGGTTAACTGATAGAAATTCGGTTATATATATATATATATATATATATATATATATATATATATATATATTCAAGATTTGAGAGAAAATTATAGTATTTTTTAAATTGTGTGTTATTGAGTAATAGTTTAGTTGCTTAACTTTCGAATACTTAGTCTCAGGTTCAAACCCTGTTTAATCTTCAATTTTAAAGAATCCATGCTATGTTATTGACTCTTTTGAATGGTATCTGGTTTCGTTCTGTTCTGCAGTAATTCACAGTTATTCTGAGTTACGAACGATTGAATGATTTTCCTAATAAGAACTCGAGTCAACGAGAGCTACATAGACGGGACAATGGATTCTCAAAACTTCAACAATAGTCCCCTACTTTAGTGAAGAGGAAAAATTGCTTGATATTACAGTATTTTGAAATTGTAATGGAACAACTCGGTTTATGTAGCAGTAGTCATGACCTTGAAATAACAAGATAATAAACTAAGAGCAAAAACCAATCAAATGGCAACAGATGTCGGTGGAGTATTATGTCGCGGAAAAAAATTATCAAGGTTGTTTTTACAAGTTATAATGACGACTTATTAATGAAACATAAAAAAAATTAAATAATTTTAGGTTTTCTTAAGAGATCTAAATCCGGATTTACAAACCCGTTTTTGGTTTCTGAGTTGCATGAAAAGATTTTCTAATTTACACCAGGTGAAATGGCATCTGCATACTGCACAACCCCGTCTTTATTATTTGTGTTTTCAGTTAATAAGAAACGATTGTCTTTATATCATTTTTCATAAATTGGATTATTGGCTGATTTATTACATGCGCATTACCATGATTTTATGCTGGTCATATCACTATCTGTTTTGAAGATCACAGTTACAATGCTTACTTATGAAAATACACTTTTATCATTGAGTGACTAATGTAATCACGATCTAAACGTAGCTGAATATGATGATAAGTAATTTGTTTACCTTGTTTTGGCCTAAAATGCAAATGATTAGAAGAAATAAGATTTATACTGGGAGGCTTACCTTATTAATATTCATTTATTTAAATGAGCACCAGTTGGAAATGACTACCGCTCAATAATGTACATGATCTCTATATTTCTTTTGAAACTAAACTCAATACTTTATGTTCCCTGGAAGACATACAAGTTACATTTGAGCTACTTCACTATATTTCAATTAATACTGTTCCCTAACCATAATAAATTGAAGACATTGTCAAATCAAACCATAATTTACTCATTTATTATCTTTTTGATTAACCGTTGTTGAAATCATTCGTTGTAAAGATATAACAACTGGTAGGTTCTGTAGTTTACAACTGTTGTCATTATTCATTTCAATATTTCATATGCATTTGTTCTTTACCTGTACCCTATTCTGACTATTATTTTAACAGGCAGATTTAATTGATCGTGACTCAAAGGGTGTAAAACTTGGTCTAGGCGATTTTGTATTTTATAGTTTATTGATTGGTCGTGCAACACTTGATGGCGATGCAGTCACTGTGGTCACATGTTATGTGGCTATATTAGTTGGAATGTGTATTACTGTTATAGTATTGGGAATTACACGACAAGCATTACCAGCTTTACCAATATCCATAACATGTGGTATTTTATTTTATTTTGTCAGTTCAGCGACGATATCACCGTTTCTTGAAGCAACAGCAATTGAACGTGTGTTCTTCTGACGTGATTTATTATTATTATTATTATTATTATTATTATTGTCACTACTGCTGTTATTATGATTGCTTTTTCTTGTTTTTATACAATCTTCAGTGTTACCGTTGATTTTAAAATACTCATTGATAATTTATCATCTGTCATTTTTATGTTTAATATTCAACTTTTAACTGTGAATTTTAGATCCAAAACTATAATGATAAGTTTTCAAAGAATTTTTATTCAATAATAAAGATTTTAAAAATGTCTTGTAAATTCTTCTAATGTATAGTTAAATTTGAAAATGGAGTTGTATTCCAGTGATTTTTGTGATTGACTGTGAATCATCGAACCATAAGTGAAACAAATATTTCATTCACCTTAGTTTTACTGCATGGATATAGAATATGGCCAACTTATGGTATAGTACACGAGGATGTTGGAAAGAATTTCATGTTTATTTGAACTCATCAAAGAGAACTACCGTAGTCTGATGAATAATCCAACACTGGATTCAAGCCCCAGTATAGTGCACCTTGCTAATAAGTCATTGTTTGGGAAAAGCATTATTTGTTTCCGCTTTACAGAATCATAATTGACATACCTGAAGAGTTCACGTGATCCACCAGAACACCCATTCTTAGAGGAAAATTCTCACTAATCTAAGAAAGGAATGTGTAAGTACTTTTAAACAAGAATTAAAATTCTTCAACTCACAGATGGAATCATTAAACGTACTAGTTTTTTTCACAAGGAAATTTAATTACTTTGTAATGAAGGCATTTTTCTCATAAATACTTATTTTCAGCCAAAAACAAATAACCAAACAGAGGTCACAAGATTCATCAAAGAGATATTTATTAGTATAATAATAATTAGCTAATTAATCATGACTAGAATAGAAACAAACAACAATTAGGCTGTAATCAGTAGTGTAAAACTCTCGTGATCAGTTGGTATATATATATTACTAGATGAGAAAAGGAAAGCATAATAGAACGACAAGGATATTAAATTATTTGTATTATCTTGAGAAAATAATATTTTTTATCATGATTAGTTCAAGAAAGAGGATTTATGTGTGATTGTTCACGAAATGGATTGAAATTTCGTGGTATTGACGAGACATTGCTGCCGTCCTAGTGGCCCCAAGACCTGACTTCGATTGGATCGTTTGCTGCTTGTTATAGAAATATATATATGTCTCCAATCCTCGTATATAATCATTGATTTAAATCGCGTTGATGTATAACGGAATGGATTTTTGAATACGTCTATTTTGCATACACGTTGATCTGGACAGACAATCTGAGGAACGGAGCGAAGTAACGCGCAGTGGAGAAGGTGTGTGAGCCGACTCAATCAAGCGTTAATCGATATTTATTGTTAGACCAAAAATAAATTACAGACATGTGATGAATAGGGTAAGCAATACACACACATGACCATATAAAAACAGTCAAGACTAATAAGCGAACAATGAACAAGGTCAAAATGTGACTCAAGAAGGGTGAATAACTTGGCCTGTCTGTAAGCTATGCTGACAAGGTGCTATGTGGGCTTGACATAGCACCCAGCACTACACCGTTATAAATCTAGTGGTGTAATATGTTTACATCATCTGGAAATGCGGACTACATTGGTTTGATAATCTGATTTCACCAAACTGAACTATGATGATAAGTAATCACATTGATCCATTTGTGTAATGTATGTTATTAATCAAGTCCCGTTCTAATTTTAGTAACAACATTTTATTAGGATCAATTATTGTGCTTATTTAATTTTGTTTTGCTTTGATTGTGACGACTATGACTGACCATTGAAAGTTTATATAAATTTCCAGTTTCATAACACCGATTTGGAAGTTAATTTGCATGAAATTAATACATTTTAATATCCAACCAAGATTTTGTGAAATAATTCTCACTAATTAACCAATACCTTTCCGTAATACAATTACTAGTTAAAACAAGATTATCACATTTTATAAGTTAATTGTAAGAATTTAAATCATCCTTTAGTTGATATTCTTGACTAAATTATGTTCAGTTTTTGTCGGCATATCTACACTTTGTGGAGATTGATTTGACGTAAATATTTTGTCACAAGCGTTTTTACTGAATGGATGGATTATGTTCAGTGATGGGATCCAGGACGCGTGTTTCGCTTTGTTTAAAAATTGCCAACTGGATGTAGTTATATTGCTGCATAAGAAAGTTATGATCAGTATATTAGTGGCATTCTCTTTTCATCTAAGATAAAAATTGCAACACAATTCTGATTATTTTATATTCGTATTCATAATTAACTAGAAAGTAAATTTATTGAATGATTAATAATTTGGAATAACTATGTGTGATTTGTTTTTCTTCGTATATTCTATTCAAGTTAAGTGTTTTTTGTTATTGTTGCTTTTCTCCATCTTCTGCTTCTTCTCTCATAATAATATAAACAATCTTTATTATAGTTATGTGAAAACGATACTTATGGTTGGATTTCACTTTGTAGTTCCTCTTTAAAAGATCAAGGAAGAAAGAAATAGTGGGAATATTGAATGAAAAGAAAAACACTTGTAATTGATGACTTATATTTTTTAAACAAAATGTTTTAACTACCAATTTAGCTTATTTGAATTTCTGACAGAAAAACGTGAAAGCAAATAATGATGTGTATCTATATGCGTACGCGTGTTTCCAGTGTTCAGTTAATATATTGTACCCAGCATATTGCGCCGATATTTCATTCATTTAAAATGAATTCTATGTATAAAAGTATAATTTTCAATGGCTTTTTTATCTGAAGCTCTAACTTTCAACATATTTGTGTTTTTCATCCAGCATTTACGGGATGTATTACATTGGCGTGTTTATAGAAGATAACTTGAGATGGTTAAAGTAAAAAATACTCCGAGGAAAATTGCACTGCCATATTTCCTGGAAATATTCTCGAAAGTACCGTATATTTACTGAACGGCCGCATTTATATATGTTTATCGCTTGATTTCACCACGACAAAAATTGCTCATTACTAGGTGATCGTTTTACCACTAACTACACTCATTTTTAGGACCTACGTGACATAATCGCTTCCATTGAAAAAGTAAATTACAACTGTACTGTGGTGGTAAATATTTGAATTTGGAATGTATACAACCATATTTTTATAAGGATTTTTAAAGGAGAATGTTTTCGCCCTCATACTTGAAAGTCATAGTTTTGATTGTTTAAATTGATAATGGCATGCATGAATGCGGAACAAAGTTTAGGTCTTTCTTGATACTATCAATATATTACGAGTGGACAAAATCCTCACAAACTGGTTCATTGGACAAAATTTTGTAAACATCAAAAGCAAGTGTCCGGAAGCGGCATTCAAGAATTTATGATCGAGGAAAATGAAATGCTTCGAAGTTTATTAGTGACACAATCAACTATATAAATGTTATTTTTAAAGAATAATGTGTGAAATGCTAAAATATGTGAATATTTTGCATACTTTTGTCATGCATGTCGTTAGCCACTTATACGTTCGAAATGGAATTGACTTATGGTAAATATACCTTTTAAATACGTAAAAAAGTATGTATATATAAATCACTTATCATATAAGATAATTTCCATCAAGAACTAATGACTTAATTACTAACATACCTACTTCATGATTTTTTTGTATTACTTACCTGTAACTCAACACTGAATTAAAATCACTACCTTCAGGTTCATGATAAAAATAAAACTAAAAATGAGTAAATAGAAAATTCAACTGCACATATCTTCATGTTCAGTTAGTTTTTGTTATATATCAAAATACCTATCTGATGTCTACTTAACCATCTTAATATGTACTGATTTCCTCCGACTAATCATTCATGAATTTTAGACAGGCATTTATCCGAATAAAGATTAACAAACATCTATTTAATGAATCCTGTTTCTTGTCGGAAAGCAAAGACTCAACTGTCACTTCTAGTATGTTGTTAGGAAATGTTCATTTTAATTCTGGACTGATTACATGATTATATATATCATCCTTGCTATCATATTCGTCCAGTTGACTACCTATTGACGTCATTATTATTATTGGATTATTTAAAGATTTATAACTTGCATGCATATGAGATCTTAATGAAACAATCTTACATACTTTTAATCGACAAGATAATGTGGACAGTATGATTATGTATAATAATGATAACAATAAACACAGAAAATAGATTTCTGATTTTTACCTGATGTCAAACCAACAAAATTTGCCTGTGTACACTCAATGGATTCTGTCGACTATTTGTATAATATAAGTATTAAGCTGGAAAAAACCCGATTTATTTTGTGATTAATTGACAATATCTTTTTTTGAATTTGTCCAAAAGTGAAATGGTTTAGAATTCTTTAGTGAATAACAACTTGAATTTTAGACAAATATCTTGTTGAAACGTGATTGCAGATAAATTTAACTAACCAATGAAATGCTATCAGCATAGGAAGTTTAAGAGAGTTGTTTAATTTTATAGTTTGCATCACGGACTCGCACTTGTTAGCTAACCATTGAAAACCAGGAAGAATAAGTCAGTTCCGTTCTAGTATCGAACCCCTTAGGATAGTGAGCCGACGACCTCTGTCGGGATCTTCAGATTTCCAGTTAAGCGCCAAACCTTGAGGGCATTAGTGGTATACATGTTTGACACCAATCACTGTGATGTTGAGGAATCATGTTAAAGTGTCATTGGTGCTTTACAAATGTTAGCTATCGTAAACCGGATAATTGGTCTAAAGGTTAAGTGTTCGCTGCGAGAACTAAAGGTATTGGGTTCGATCCAGGGTAAGATTATGGATATATACTCCTGAGATCTCTTTTATTAGGACCCAAAAGCTATTCAATACTTCCTAGTTTTCTATGGTTGTCTATGTAAAGTTAGTTCTTGTCGTAAACTGCAAAGAAAAATTACTATTATGAGAGGTTTCGAAAAGACTATTTAGTTTTTGTAGTTTTTAGCACGATTTGACTTCAGCTACTTAGTTACTGAAAACCAGTTAACTATGGATAGTCGTTTTATCAAAAGCTTGCATCCATCAGTGTTTAATCCTTAGCATGATGGAATCTACAAGAAAGCTACACTATAACATGATATGACATAAAGAAGAACAATATTGGACAACGTAACTACATTATTAAATGATTTTTTTATGAAGAACATTTGTTTTTGTAAGTCATATACAAATACTACATGATTATAGGTAAATTTATTCACAATTATCTTTAGTCAACTGCTT